CTTTACCGCTTCAACAATTATTAAAGCCTAACCTCCAACTGAGGGCCTGAGCTAAAGATACACTAGCAACTGTTCTTGTTTACACCAAGTAGTATACAGAATTTCTTTCTCCACAGTCCTATAATCTTGAGGCTTGTCTTCACCAGTCTGCTTTGTAACAAAATGAAAGTTAAATCTCTAGTTAACTTCTGCTGTGTTCACATGTCAGCGTGACAGAGGAAAAGCATGGCAAGGTAACTGGAGGATGAGAGAAGGAGCTGAGACAGACAGATTCACCTCAGGCTGATCTCGGGAGTCACCTTAAGAACACTTCTACTTTGAAGTCATATCTACTTTCTCCTCTTTCTCAGATATATCTCCCTTTTCTCATTCAAAGGTTTGTGAGGTCTGGGGGAAAAGTAGTTTTTGCACGACTGTGCCTCGGTTTCTCACCCTACCGTACTTAGAGCTCTTAAAATAGGCTGAACACATTTCCTCCACTGATGCCTAACCCCATGTGATGGCACTGGAGATGGGACTCAGGGGAGATAATTAGGATTAGATGAGATCATAAGGGTGGGATCATCTTATGATATAAGTACAAGTAGAGCTTTCACTCTGTACGTACAATATACTACAGAAAGGCCATGTGAGAACACAGTAAGGAAGCAATGTCTGCAAATCAAGATGTGGTGAGCTTTCACAGGACACCAAATTTGCCAGCACCTTGATATTAGACTTCCCAGCCTTTAGGACTGTGAGAAATATGGATTTTGTTTTGCTTTGTTTTTTTAAGTCTATGTTACTTTGTTGTGGCAGCCTAAAAAGACTAATATAGTCAGAAATAAAATTTCAGTAATTTGGGTGAATCTTGTTAATGAAATTATAAAAGAAGCTTGTTATTGGGGCTGGGAAATGTAGCTCAGCGGCATAAGCACCTGCCTTGCAAGCAGGCAGTCGTGAGTTCGATCCCTGGTACCAATAAAAAGGAAAAAGAAAAAAAAAAGAAGCTTGTTATTTAACTACTGAAAGGGTAGCACACACTCAGTTCCAGCATCAAATACCCAAGTAATGACCACCCTCCAAAAAAATTCACTTAGATAAGAGCATCCACAAAGTAACCACAGGCTAGCAGATACCAAAAAGAAGCCTCCTCACTGAGTCACCTATGATATAAACAAGCACTGTACCCATGCAGCTAAAGTAGATTTAAGACACTGCTCAAAAGCAGTCACTCTGCCACATAATAATCACACATCAACCTTTCACTGCCACAAAACATTTCTGCTGAAAACTATAATCATTACAATTCAAAGTACCTTATATAGCAGCTAAGTTCTCAGACAACTGCACAAAAATAGAATATTTGTTAACCAAATTATTTATATTCACTAGAAAAGCTAACCAAAAAGAATTTAGTCTCCAACATGTTTGAAAGAGCCTAAGTTTTAGACATATCAGACTTGCTTAAAATGAAATGAACCTCTAATATCTATATATGTAACTCATTTAATTTTCCATCAAATTAGCGTAAATTATTTCCAAAGTAGTAAGTAGTCTTCCTTAAAAACTACATTTCTCAACCCATTTTTCAATTTTCAAACTGCATTTGTCCCTTCCCTCTTACCTCAGAGTTCTCTTACCAAGGCTGTGCTATTTTTCCATTCCCATAAAGCTTCTGTATACTGCCCCTCAAGAGCACCAGCAGTTCCCTTGGAGCCTAAGAATTATAACACAAGCACAGGGACTCTCCAGATTCCCCAGAGATCCACTCTGGGAAGTAATAATTTTTTCCAGAAGTTTAGTGGCTGCAACCCAACAGGGTTCAGTTTTGGAATCTGACGTTTAGAGACTAGCTTCATTTAGGAACCAGCCTCGGGAACTTAACCCACTATGTACTATGTACCCAAAACTGTCAAGTATTCATGGATAATCACAAAGGAAATATAATTCCTGTGTTTTGGAAGCTTACAGTCATACAAGGGAACTAAGAATTATAAAGCCGTTGAAAAATAATAAAAGGCAATGCGAAAATAAGCATAGAGCCAGGAGCTAAGCATTTTTGTAATCCCAACACTGAAGAGGTAAAGGCAGGAGGACTATCCTAAATTTGAGGCCAGCCTGGGCTACATAATGGGTTCAAGGCCCAACTTAACTGGTAGTGAGACTCTGTCTCAAACAAACAAACAAAGCTTGGAGGCAAAAGCAGTCTAATGTCAATTAGGCTGACCAACAAGTCTTTCACAAGGGAGCCAGGACTTCAGAAAAACTTCATTGTGTTAAGATGTAAACAAAAATATGTGCTTTAAAAAAACCCCACATAGCAAAAATAGTTGATGACACAAAGAATTTTAATGTACATTTATATGGGGCCTACAGTTTTCTAATTCGTTGATACCATATCTTAAGAATGAGTCCTTGTTGATTCTGCCCCAGGCCTCCAATTTAGCAAGCACATTTCTCTCTCCATGCTTCTGTTCTATTGGTTCCTTTACCTGAACTCTCTTCCTTTGTATCTCTAAATGGCCCATTCCCACGATTCAAGATCACTTAACAGAGAGACTTTCCTTGACCATCTTCATCATTCTCTTTTCCTTACTAGCGGTTATCAGCACCAAATAGTAGTTGTTCACGTCTTTATTATGTACCTCTTCCCATTAGAATACTAGTTCAATGAAAACAGGGCCTTTCTCTATTTACTACTACATTTCCAAAGATTAAAATTGTGCCTGGCGCGTAGCAGTTGCACAATAAACATCAGTTAAGCACAAGGCCCTGAGTTGAATCTTCAGTTTCACAATAAATAAATAAATATTAGTTAAATAAGTATTACACAGACACAGTTGTTAATTTTGCAAGGATCATATGTACCTTAAGAACAGGGAAACTTGCCTTACATTTTTTAGAAGGTAACTTAGGAATCATTTTGTATAAACACTTTGCTTTGTAACTAAGGAAAACAGCCCCCTAAACAAGGGCTTATCCCAGGACAATCTAGCCAACTGAAGGCAAGGGGCTAACTCCTGTACCACATGCTGTGATGGAACTACAAAAATGAGAACATACCAAGTGAAAGATCAACAATACCCATAACTGTGCAGAATGAGTGCAAAATGGTTCCCAGGGGCTAGTTCTAAATTATCTAACTGTATCCAGAGGACCTAATCGACTCATTGTTCTGCACATTCCCCATAGTACTATTACACTGCTCCATTTCCAAATATCACTGAGCAAAGGCAGCCAGCAAATAACAGGCCCCAGGCAGGAAAGAGAGAAGTGGGAGGGTCTCATCATTCACTATGACTGATAGAAACAATAAGTTAACACATATATAGATACATAATTACATACACATAACCAAGTGGAACATGCTCATCAGCACCCCTACCCAGTATTCTCTCCTTACTATCTACTGGTAAGCCACCTCTCCAGAAGTCTTCCTATATTCCTCTACAGTTTTTCATGGCCAACAGACTTCTCAGAATCCCTTTCCTTGACAAAGTTCTAATGAGAATAAAAGAAAGCAATGAAACAAATCCAAAAATAAACACCAAGAGGGTCATATTACCCAAAGCAATCGAAATAACAGAGGACTCTGCAAAGGAGAGTAAGAGGCACACAACGAACACGCCAGGCTTAAGTATAGCTCCAATTCTTAACACAGGAAGTCAGGCAAAACCTTAAAAAGCAGACAGCAGAGCACAGGAAGTCTTTGAGCACTGCAGAGATTTCCAAGAGTGGTGTAATGGAGAGAGGGCAGGAATAAGAATTAGAAGACCAGACTCTTAGTTCGTTTTATAACCAGCTACCTAGATGTCCTTAACCAAATCACTAATTTTCCCTGGACGCTGGATTCCGCAACTAAAAAATGAGACGGTTAAAACATAGTGGGACTTGGATCCTCTTCCCAAACCAAAGATGAAAATTACTCATTCTGCTCCACTAAAAAGAGCAGATAAAACTCTGCTGCCTAATAATCTTCCAAAGCAATCCTGGTTAAGAACCCCTGGAAAAGATAATGTTGTCGCTGGTCCCTTCTAACATTCCATGCTTTTAAAAGAATCAAGCAGATGTCTATACACAGTTGCTGGGCCTGTCTCATCATTTATAGAAACTCTCTTGCCAACAGAGACCAAATCCTAAAACCTAGGAAGGTTTCAAACCCCTCCACAAACTACCAAGTAACTGATATGATCAATACCATTCTCTTTCCCCACTGAAACCAGCCACTTTGTCCTTAAGCCCATAACTAAGTAATCCAGTCTTCTAACAGTCCTACAGATCTTGTGTGCCCCAGGTCACTGAAAATCTACAGGGTGTCACAGCGATGTAGGATGCAATTGGCAAAGTTATGAGAGGGAAACGTCCTATGTCACTCTCCAGACTCATTAACATGCTCCATAAAATGACACTGAACACCATAGCATTCCCAAACCACTACCAAACTCCGGGTACTTCTCAGTCACTCTGTACAACTGATTCAACCCACAACCTAAGCCACATCCCCTTTGGGCTCTCTCGAGGAGTTTTCTCTCTTTTCACACCTCTGCTTCAAATGCTGCTTCCCCTTCCCATCTCAGCGTGCGTCCAGAGCTGCCCGAGGGGTACTGCTCCTTTTCGGGAGGTTCCCCACCAGGTCCCCTCGTGCACAGCTCGGCCAGCCACTCTCCTCAGGGCACCAGTCCCAGAATTTCCCGAATTCGCAAGGAACTAAGGAAGGGTTCAATGAAATGGACTCCATCCCAATCAAGCGTGACTTCCCACCAAAACCTATTCTCTCGTGGTAACCCTAACCCTTCTCGTCCCCACTCGGGCATACACAGCTGTACTCTTCTGCATCCCTCGCCTCCAAGCCCGAGCTCGCCCCACCTTCCAGCCAGGCCCAGACTCACCCCCTCCCACCCGGGACCCCCGAAGCCCTCCCTCCACCCCCCACTCCGTCCACACCCGGCTGCCCGGGCTGCTCCTCCGGCCCCGCCCCGCACCCCACGGTAACCGGGCGCCCAGTCCCGCGCGGTCACCTGCATCCCGCCGCCGCCGGCGTCCGCCGTCGCCTCCTCGGTGCGCGGCCGCTTGCTCAGGCCGGGCTCGGCTCCGTCTCCTCCCGCTCCGGGAACCGGCAGCTCCAACTCTGACTCCCGCTTCATGCCCCGGGCGGCGGCGCCGGGCCCGAGCTGTGGCGACTGCTGCGGCTGGGCACCTTCCGCCATCCGCCCGCGCCCCCCTCGCCTCCGGGAGCCGGGCGACCCGCGACAGGCCACCACCCCCTGGGCCTCGGCCCCGACAGTCGCGACACGCGGGCGCGCGCCTGCCCCGCCCCCCGCGTGCGTGCGTGCGTGCGCGCGGGCCCCGCGCCCTCAGGCTCGCGCGCCGCGCCTCGCCGCCCGCCGGGTCGTCGGCGCGGGCCGCTGGCCGTCGCTATGGGCACTCACTCGCGCGCCCGCTCGCACTCGCGCCGCTGGCTGGCCCGCCCTGCTCTCAGCCTCGCGCACTCGAGGGGTGGCCGCCTCCCGCGCTCGCTCGCTGGCTCACTCACACTCTCCCTCGCAACACGCCGGCCGAGGGAAGAAGGGGGCGGTCCGGGCTCCCGAGGCGTGGGGAGGGCTGTTTATTTGGGAGGAGGAGGAGCGCGAGGCAGGAACGACCTGACTGGCCGGGATCCTCCGACCCGCCACTGTGGCAGCACCGGGAAGGCGGGGAGAGTGAAAGAGGGAGGGAGGGACTGGGATGTAGGACTCCGGCCCGCGCTGGAGGCTGTAGTGAGGGGGCAGTAGCGGCCGAGCCCGCAAAGAGGGCGGAGCCAGTGCCCCTCGGCAATCTCCGCTGCCTTCGTGCCGACCGCCCGAGGGAGGCCGGGAAGAGATCGTAGGAGCTCGAGATTCTCCGGCACCAGCCCAGGATTGTCCTGGGCTGAGGCTTGGAGGCTAGAGTGCCAGCCGGCGCGTAACGGGGCGGGGTGTGTTTCCCTCAGGGCGGGGCTGCACCCTAAGGCAGGCGGAGCTGGAGAGGCCCTTTGGCGGGGATCGGCCGCAGCTTGCAGAACGAGTTGCTCAGAGTTGCGACCTCAGTTCACTTGTCGGTCTGGCCCCTGGGATTCCTGCGGAGGAAGGGGTACTCTGCGAGAGAGCGAGTGTCTGCTAGCTTTTTCTCCCACACAAGAATAGTGATCTCGAGTTGAAAAGTCAGGGAATGAAGCCACCCTTTACAACCATTTTGAGAACTTTTACTCTAATCATGAATTCTCACATCTCTGATGATCTTAATAATACCTGATGTTAATAAAAGCTTCCAGCATACACAGTACGTTCAGATCCGTGGTTAGAGCTGATGATGGAGGTAGAGACTGCTATCTGCATTCCATTGACGAGCTTGAAACTTGATTGAGTTCTGCAGCCAAAAATGTGGTCCATCCAGCTCGGAGGACACCAGATCTCAGACTCTCTCTCCACCTTCCTGCCTTCGTGGTACTGTATTGCTTACCAGCTTCATGCAATGAATTCTTAGCCTACCAGGCTAGAACTGCCTCTGGATTCCCTATTGTGCCCTGTACATTAGAGGGAGAAACGACTTTATCTCTTTGGATTCCAGCTCCAACGTACATAGAATGAGGAAATGGTTTGGATCAATCAAGGGTTGGATTTGTGCCTTTCCACCACCACCCTAATAATTGTCAATACGTCAAGATGTTTTGTCCTTTTTTTTTGTACCAGGGATCGAACTCATTTTTTACTTAGTACTGGTATAACTAGGGGTGTTGTATTTGGTTAGTAAAAGCTAGGAATGTTGCCAAACAAAGAGTTATGGAGCCTACAATTGTCAATAGTGCAGAAATTGGAGACCTGGAGTTAGGTGGATTTCTGAGGTCATTTGCAACCAGGCTGAGACTTGTTCTTTGAACTTAAGTTTTAGCCTGCCAGAGCTGGAACAGAACAATGGTAAATATCCCTACTTCTGAGTCAGGCCATCCCAAATGGGAAGCCAGGTTTTCCCACCTATTGCCTGGGAAATATTGCGCCAGTAGTCACTAAGAGTTCTTTAACAGGTGTTCGAGGGCCTGTAGAAGAGCTAAAAGAAAGAACTAGAAAATTTGCCTTGCAGCTGGGTTTTCCAAATAAATACATTGTGTTAATTTGTTTAGCTCTGCCACTTACAAATCAAACCTTATGAAAGCTACTTAATCTTTCCATCCCTCAGTTTCTTTACCTGAAAATTAAGATGGTAACAGCATCTTTCTGAAAGGGTTATTGCAAGGATTGATGAATTATTACATATTAGGAACTTTGAGCCTGATAGCACATGTCGAGAAGGGTGACACAAGAGGGTTAAAAGTTCAAGCCCAGCCTCGACAATTTAAGAATTTACCAGACCCTGTCTCAAAATTTTAAAAAGGGCTAGAGATACAGCTCAGTGCAAAGCCCTGGGTTCAATCGCCAGTAGTTGGGGGGAGGGGTGTTGATCAGAATGGTCTATATCAATGATGTTTAACCTTTCAGAGTTTTCAGTGATACATTCCACTGCAGCACACGTGGGCTGTTATTAATATTATCATTATTTTATTTACATGAACTGTTGCTAATATTTTGGCCATTTTATTTCCATTTTAAGTGAGAGGAACAGTGTTCATTATCAAGATACAAAGAATGTTATTCTCACTGTTACTGAAGTTCCTTGCTATGAAAGTGGCTTGATTAAGGCTGCTAAAGATTCACATGTGACAGACTCCCTAAGTCACCCTTTGGTGCAACCACTATATTAAGCAAATTATTCAAATTCCCTAATCCTTACATTTCTCATTTGTAAAATGACAATAATAATAGCCACCGTGTTGTTCTAAGCATTAAATGAGACAAAATAAAGCACTTACTATAGTGCCTAACATATAGTAACCACTTAGTAAGTAGTAATTATTCATTATCTAATTGGTTTAGTGATAGTAAGCTACTGGCCAGAGGCCCATGGGGAAAGAGAAACCCAAGCAGCTCTTAATATTGCTACTTGCACCACTAAGGTGGAGTCCAAGTATCTGAAAGTTCATTCTTGAGTCCAATTAGCTCCAACCTCAGCAGTTGCCAGCCGCTAGTACTGTGCACCCTGATGTGTGCAACCAAGCATTAGGGCTTTGAAGGAGAATCAGGGTGTTTCCTAGTAGCCATTGTTGAAAAACAATGCCTTTTTTAAAAAACCTGGGTATATCAGTGATTGGTGTTTCTGAAAAATTTACTAAATTGGTATCCTTAGACTTGTTCTCCCCTCCCTACCTGCTTTGCCAAAATATTGCAATCTGACTGTTAGGTCCTTCTGGACTGAAAATGCTTGAACAAGAAATGAGAATTGGGATTCAGAGATGCCTGTGACTCTAATTATTGTTATTCAGGTAGTGCTCGAGTCCCTAAGAAATAGAGCAATGCAATATGGGAATGTTTGAATGACCCGGCAGAACAAGAGAAATTGGACTGTGGTCTGTAAACAAGCATTAAGCATTTAGGAAGACAGATGAGACTAGAAGCCTATGAATAGTAGAAGAGGCTAAATGTACCCATGGCAACACAAAGACCATAGATCATTTCTTTTTATGCATTTGCAGCTATTTGAGAATATGTAGTTATGAGATATTACAGAAGAAAAGAATATTAAATAATATTTTGCCAGAGAGATATTTTAACTGAAAAACTACTGTAATCCTAAAATTTGTTCATTTATTCATTTAACAAACTATAGGCAAGCATCTGGAATGCCAATGTGAATAAAATTTATTCTTGGTAATCTAGAGAAGAAAGAAGAATGAACAAATAGTGTGACAGTTAGAGGGTTGGGGTGTGTGATTAATGGTAGAGCATTTGCCCAATGTGCATGAGGCTCTGGATTCAGCCCCGGTTTTACACACACACACACACACACACACACACACACACACACACACGCATACACACAAATTACAATGCTTCATGATAAAGAGTTTCTCTCTCAAAACATACAAGGACATAAACTCCTCTCAGGTAGACATGGGTTTCAGTCTGACTTTACCACACGTCTGATCATGTCTGGTCAAGAACTTTAGCACCACTGAGACCCAGATTCTTCATCTGTGTCATAGGCACTGGTGGTTGCCAGCCCAGAGTTCATTGTCTTTCTCTTTCAGAACACCAGTTTTGTTCAGGGCCAAGATCTGCCCACCTCTGAAAAAGAAGTAAAAAGAATCCCCAGGGTCCCTGATAGATAAAAATGACCACATTACCCAGTTGGAGCCCTCAAGATATAGATAAGGAAGAGCTTTTCTTCCCAACTAATAAGACAAAACCACAAAAAGAGAAGGCTTCTTGTCCTTTAAACTTTGCCCGTTTGCCCTTTGCCCTTTGCCCCTTGCCCTTTGCCCTTTGCCAATGCAGACTGGAAAAACAACAGAAACCTAACCTCCACAACAGCAAAGCTATGTGGTAAGAATGTATTAAGAAGCAAGTCTTTCCTCTCAAGCTTGTCCATCTCTAATTTATTGTCATTTGACAAAAATCAGATTTGATTTGGGTAAGCCACCAGCAACACCATGCAGCCAAACTCAACTCCTAACCAATCCAGCTTATAAACAGAAGATTACAATGGTGTCTTCCCTGGGGTTCTTTTGAGCATTAAATAATGCATGTAAAGTACCTAGCCTGACACCTGGTACATAGACACATTCAGTAAGTGGTAATATAACCTTTCTTTACTACTATTATTACAGCTATTATCCTCACTAATATGATTATTTTCTGTACAAAAGCCATAGGGGTATAGAGAAGATGTTATTCCTTCTGCCTGGGGCAGACACAACAGGTTTTCCCTAGGGTGTTACAATTCCACTCTGGTCTTCAAAATGCAGAAGAGTTTCCACGATATGTTTGCTAATAAGAAGTGAGCACATTTCCATGTCTTCCTTTCCTTAAGAGGACTTAAAGACTCTCTACTTGACCACAATTAGGAGAAAACTCCACTGGGGAAATAACAACACTGAGCTTGGAGTTGATGGACCAAGACCAGACTCAAAGTCAGTAGCTGTGATCTTCAGATAAACAGAGACTAACAGAGAGGTAAGTGGGCTGTGTAGCTGAAAATAGGAGCCAGAGCACCTAGGCCTAGAATTTTGTAAGGCCCATAGGTAATATGTAGACTTGAGAATATGAGAGACTTGATCAAATTCCAGCCAGTTTGCCCCAAAACTCTGGTTATCAGCAGCCATCAACAAACTGGTAGTAAAAGTCACTTTGTTTATAAGATCTTTGAGAACATGAATGCTGTCCTAATCCCTTTCTTTCTTTTTTTTTTTCTTTTTCCTTTTTATCGGTACCGGGGATCGAACTCAT